CTTATCCTTACTAATTTTTCTACTAACTGCGTGGGAACAGGAGTATAAACTGGTTCTAGTAATTCAGCTTGTTATAATTTATTCATAATATCTTTAAGAGGCGCGTCAAAAGGAATTTCCCTTAATAATTGTTCAAATAAAGGGTTTACGCATTCTGGACACGTCAGGGTGACTAGAGCTGATTCCATACGCGGGGAATTTACTATGTTTTCCTCAGAGCCAATTTTGAGGAAATCCATTTGTATAGCGTTTACACTTCCTAGAATTTGTGCTACCCAAATTCCCCCTATTAATAGGATCATTTCTAAGAAACCAATTATCCCTAAACACATGCCACGTCCTCATTCTTGACGATGCATTCCTCGAAGCCTCTGTCCCCATCTCCGGACCTTGTCCCGCAGTAGGGTAGAAAGAGGACGCGGCACCTAGGCAAGGTATGTTAGACCTCAAACCCAAAGGACGTGAAGATTTTAGCATAAAATTCTCTCACCCAGAGCTCAGGCAGAATTTTAGGGTCACGTCATTTTTGCTTAAAACTCTGTAAATATGAAGTTTTGTTTTTGTTTTTCTTTTTCTTTTTTAAGTCTAATGTTGCTGAAGTGAAGTCAGAAGGAAGATTAATTTTTATCTGTTTCTTCTGTTTGGATGCTTTTACGATTCTTTCTTTGTCTTTGAATAATCTCTGCAAGTGGATAAATCATCAAGTTGTTCTTTATTAAATTTCTCTGGAGCACCATGAATTTATATAATGAGTTCAGACAACGAGAAGAAAAAACTGCAAATTCACATATTTATTTATTTCAGGGAAGTTTTCTCCTATTATATCCTTAAATGTTTTCAATATTTCATTTTTATGCTTTTAAAAAAGAGCACCTAATACCTGCATGATATATATCTAATATTGGCTTGTGGTACATATCATCGTTTTCTGAATCAGTGTATTTTCTGCATCTCTTTCCTGTGTGCTTTCTGCAATTTTCTTCAGCCTAATCTCTATGACGCTGATTTAGATTTTTGCCATCTAAATTCTGATCCTCAGGCTTCTTAGTTCTACAATGTTTTTGTGTTTTGTTTTGTTTTGTTTTGTTTACTGTCGTCAGTTCACTTTTCATCCTACTGCTTTGCTATTTCTTCTTACAGTTCTTATTTCTTCTTTGGATTTTTCTTATTACATATTATATTTCATTTCCTGAGGAGTAGAAAGTGATTCTTGCTTAAATTTTCTCCTGTTTCCTGGAATAAGTCTTGTTCCAACATATATTTTTCATTTGCCTTTTTACTGATTATGTTCCTTTCATTTTATCTTATATTTTACAGAACCTTTGCATAAGTTTTTTTTCTCTTGCTTACTCATCTTTGAAAGAAGTCATGCCTATTTCTGCTATTTGCCAGGAATATTGTGAATGAAAAATCTTTGGCAGTCCTTTCTTCTTTTTGGCACACTAGTTGAAACTCAGTTTTGCATCAAGGGCTTGCTAGAAGAAATTTTATGTTTAATTATTTATTTGCTTATAGTTTAGGTTATGTGGAGAGAAAGGGTGGAGAAGAGAAGCTCAGGAGAGAAATATGGCAGTTCGGGTCTATTACCTCTGCACACACAGTCCTCAGTCTCCAGTCTGTCACAGCAATTGGAGTTCTGCCCGGTCTTGCAAAACCTGGAATTAGGCAGGAGACACTGTGGAGAAGCCATTTCAGTATAAAAACCAATGGCTCAGGGGTCTTTTGTTTATGAAATATGTAAACCAGGTACTCATTTTTCTGTGGTAAATCGACTTTAATGAGTAGCTACAAAAATTGTTTGTAGTATCTTTCTTCAAGATTCGCATTATCTCTCGGTCATCATTCCTTTGCTTAGAAAGCTGAATTCACTGAAATCAGAACTATTGGTCATCATGTCTCCTTTAACTCTTTATGGCCCTGGCCATACCTGCTGACTGCTTTTCATTTTTGTCGTGACCTACTTCCAGCCTTTACTCTTTCCAATTGAATACTGTTAGGGCCTTCAAAAACATTTCCATTCCCCCCACCCCCACCACCACCATAAATCTAAGGTCAAAATAAATAGGGGAGATGAGTCTTGAACTTGGCATTCTTGTCTAATTGGTTCACCTTCAGCAGGCAGTTTGTGGAATGGGATTGTGGCCATTTTTATAGTTTCAGTTTTTATTTCTCTTTTTTGGTCCTTGATGATCTTTCAAATGAACTGCAGGGAGAGGAGTTTTAGAAGTTCGACTGTCTTATACATTAAAAAATCTATTTTATAATGTGAATGATAACTCTTATTTTTTATTCTGTAATTTTAGTTATACTACAAATTGGATTTCATATATATATATATACACACATATATGTATATATATCCATGTGAAATTTGTATATCATCCTAAGTATTCCATATTTAAAGTTAAAACTACTTTGTACATGGAATTGGTTTAATTTTTTATATTCAATTAGCAGTGGGCAAAACCTAATTTGAATAAAACATATTTGAACACATATCCCCCATAGAAGGTTATTGATTTCTTGAAGTTAGTTCTACTTCGATTTATATCCTACGATTTATTGAAAATATGGAGTCCTGGTTATACTATCCTTATGAATTTCCTCCCCCAAGGAATAGTTAATATTTATAAATGTGCTATTGTCTTTCATCCCTCACAAATGTCTAATATTACTAAAACCAGTCAAGCGGCCTGAAGATATCAGAAACCATTTTTTTTTAAAGACAGGGAGATCAAAATGTCACCCAAATGAAGGATAAGATTCTTTGGTGCATCAGTTTTCTGTTTCTCACAGCACTCCTTCCTTTCCTTATATTGAGAATTCCTACTCGTGTGATATCTGGGATTCTTCTTCATGAATTCCCAAATCGTGCATATGGAAATGTTTAAAACTTTTACACCAAAAATGAGAAACCCTAACTTCCAGGAAGATTTTTTAATTACTTGGACATTTTTTATATATGAAAACTTCCTAATAATTTCATTAAAAAGTTATTTTATGAAAGTAAGGGCATTCATGATAATGAATGAAGAATAATAGACCATGTGAGAAGCAAATGCTGGGCTGAGTGGATGAACGTGGTAAAATTTACACATCAACCTAGACTTCTCTGCATATCAGCCTGAGTTTCTGTTTCAACTGTGAGTCTCAGTAATTTATTTCTCAAATTACTCCGTGGCATAGATCTTTAGGGTTCTGATTATACCTGCAAATGTTATTACCAAATGCGCAGTGTTCGCTGGCCAACAACGTCTAAGCAATCATGTTTTTGTTGAGTTCTTTTATCTCTCAGGGATAAGCAAGATAATTCATATTTTATCAGCCCAAGTCTTCAATTACAAAGCTTGTGGTAAAGTTCCCTACTGCCAAATTTTAACAGTAGCTTCAGTATTCCCATTGCAAATTTACACTTGGTTTTCCAATTAAAATGGGCTTTTGTGAGTCCCCTGCTGATAGCCATTGGCTTGATAAAAAGTTACTTCATTTTCAGCAAGGGTGTTTAGGGAGCCCAGTGCAAGGCTGGCTCTTCTGCTGTTGCCTTGAGCCCAGCTGTGCTGAAATATTAAACTTTAGTAAATTAGGCGAAATTGCAGCTTCCTAGCTGATACACTAATGCCCTTTTCTTTTTCTGCAAACCGTCTTCTCTATGAGTTGTCTGCACAATTCTCTGGCTCTAAGAGAAATAAAATCAAACTATCTTCCTAATCCAGCCAACTTTTTCATTTTCAAGATAACTGTGCCATATCCTACTTATCTAAAAGAATGCTTAAACTTTCAAACACGTAGAATTGGATGACTATATTATTTTAGCACTCAATGTAGCGTTAATTTCTGAAACCGTACTCAGATAAGCAGCTGGATCCCTAAAAATGTCAGTCTTATGTAAAAGCAACAGCTTTTTTCTTTATCGATTAGTACATTTTAACAACAATGAGTTAGGGAAGGAAATCTTATTTCCAGTCACATTTATTTTCACTTTTTTGCTCCTTTCTCTTTATGAATAGCATTCGTTTTGAGGTGTTTTATTCATTGACTAAACATTTATTGATCAACTACTGTGTGCACGGTTATGGTTTGTTTTCGACTAATTATTTTTAATTAGAGCAGATGCAGAATTAGCAAAAAAGGAACTAGCAGCCCTTTTTTTTTTTTTTTTCTGTTCTTGATATGTGTTATTCTTTCAGTGATGAAATTGCTGGCAACAGCTTTATTGATCTGTCTGGCCTACTTGCTCCCCCAAAGGCGCTCGCATTGCTCTTCCAGGTTGAGACCATATGCCTTTAGGAGATTCTAGTTGAAACATAAATATTTTTGTAACTTGAAAAAGTTAACTCATGAAAATCTTTCAAATTACCTTTATCAAGGTACTCACAAGATGGTAGAATTCAGAGGTTGTTTTTGGAAAAATCTCAAATCTATATGAAAGTAGGTTGAATAGTCTAAAGAACCCCCATGGACACACTACCAGGTTTACGGTTTATTGATGTTCTTTAAGGGTTCAAGGTCAGGGGCAAAGCCTGGGGAGGTTGCACAGTGGGCACTTGGGCAGTTGGTGGGCCACACATATGGACAGGACAGCTTAGGGCCGAGAGAGGAGAGACCTAGTCCCAAGTCATTGGAGAGGCAGACTATATCATACTGTCATCGGATCACTGTACTGAAATAGATGAAATAATAATATATGAGATATTCTAACCCAGAGGATCTAGTCCCATACGATTTAGACAGGATATACCAACTTTTTTTTGAAAAGGGGCAGATAGTAAATATTTGGGGCTTCGTGGGCCATATGATCTTTGTGACCCATGTCACAAAGCAGCCGTAGATAATACAGCCACACACAACCATGGTAATACAAAGAATGGGCTTGGTGGTGTTCCAATAAAACTACAGAAACAGGCAGGGACCGAATTTGGCCCGTGGGTAGTAGTCGGCGGACCCCTAAAATTGCCTGGCCCTGGAAATCGATTCTCTGTGCCTTTGACTCTGCGTTTAAGCCAGTGGAAGTGACTCCTTCTAATCGGTCCCGGAATCTACCCAACAGCGGCCAAGTTCCACGCACTCTTCACACGTGGGACGACCCAGCAGAGCGACTACAACAGTTTTCAAAAGTTTTTGAAATGAGCCCTTCCCTCCTCTTGCTTCCTCCCAAGGCCTCCCTGTCTCTCAGCTGCAGGGACGCGGACGGAGTTGTGGGGAGCCTGGGCGGGCTGCGTGGGCTTCGCGGAAGAGCACGCGGGCACTCGAGAGTAGGTGAGGGCGCAGAAAAGTTGGAGCCCAATCAGCACGGAGTTGAGCTCCTGCGCCCCAACCTTCAGGTGACCCCGCGCGGCGGCTGCGGCGGCGGCGGCAGCGGCGGCGGCGGCGGCGAACAGAGCCCGCAGCAGCTCGGAGCGCCTCCGGGAGGACAGGAGGCGAGCTCGACAAATCGTCACTGCCATCCGAGCGCCCAACTCAGCGGTCCAGGGCTGAGTGGAGGAAGCTGGAGAGCCGGGACGCCGCGTCTTCCTTGGCCCCCAGAGACGGCGCAGGTTGGGCCGCGCCGCGCCGCGCTCTGTCGTCGTCCCTCCCGCTGCCTGGGAACACTGGAGGTGCGTGGCT